CTAGTTTTAATCTTTGGCAGGTTGAGATCCAGTTTTTCCAACACCATTTATTAAAGAGGCTATCTTTCCTCCAGTGGGGACGGTCAGCTCCTTTGTCAAAGATGAGGTAGCTGAGTACATCTGGAGTTGTTTTTGTGTCTTCCAGTCTGTTCCACTGATCCTCAGGTCTGTTTCTTTGCCAGTACCGTGCTGTTTTTATCACAGTGGCTTTGTAGTATAGTTTCAAATTGGGAATTGTTATACCCGCTACCATGTCTCTGTTGCCTAGGATGGCGTTTGGTATTCTAGGTCTCTTATGGTTCCAAATGAATTTTTGGAATCTTTTTTTCTAGTTCTGTGAAATATAGTGTTGGAATTCCAATTGGCATTGCATTGAATCTGTATAGCAGTTTTGATATCCCCAAATTTCTTGAGTAATGCTGCCTTACACCCTGGAGCTCCCCTTCCCAACTCCCATTCACTCCCCTGGTAACCAGCCTCTGGGCCCTATCCCCATCAATGTTGTCACTGCTGTTCCTACACTGTTACTAAGGACCTCCCAGCTCCCAAGCATTCACTCTTGCCTTAGGTTCCCTTGGTCACAATGAACTCTTCCTCCTTGGTCTCAGTGCACCTATCTTCCAATACAGCCAGCTTCAGGTCCTGGGTGTTCTAGAGGTCGTCAGGTCTCATTCTACCCTACCTTTTCCTACTCCATATTTGCACCTTGAATAACCTCATCTACTCCAGCAGCTTCATTAACAAGGCAGAGGGGTTCCTAAACTTTCTCTCTTCATTCCACTTTGTTCTCAGACCAAAAGAAATGCCTGCTGAGTTATAAAAATTAACAAGTAAAATAATTATTTCCTGACAATTTAGTACCCGTTTGAAAAAAAAAGCATATTTCAACTGAGAAAACAAAATTTTCATTTCATTCTTAATTATATTTCCTAATTAGTACATGTGCACCTGTTGAGTACTGCACAATTTCCCAAATTTTAAAGTCATTCTAGAAACTACCACCCTCTTTCCTGTTCTCCACAGATTTCCACATGGTGCAATACCAACCAAAACCCCTACTTTACCAAACTGAAACCATCAAAAGAAACAGTGTGATCTAACTGAGAATCTGTACAATCATGAGAGAGTAGTTTCCAGTATTAGTATTAGACATTGTGGTTTCCTCAACAATTTAAAATATGTCCAACTCCCCGTGAATTTGTAGCAGATTTTAGGTGCTATCTGGGAACTGTGGTGCTAAGGACTCTCAGATTTGACTCGAGTCCAGACTTCTCTTGATATCCAGATTCCTTGCATAGCCAAATGAACATTATGTCCCACAGGCACCTAAAACTTATCCTGGCCAAGAATGGCCTATCTTCTTCTCCCTAAATGCATGCTGCTGACCACTCCTGAGCATGGCACTGTCACACAACGACCAACCAGAACAGGGTACTGTCCTAAAAGCTTCGTTCCCCAAGACCCTGCCTCACACACACACTCAACCAAAGACCAAGTTCCAGAGATTCTTCCTTCTCAAATTTCCCTCCTTCCACTTATTAATCTACTCCCCAAAGGCTGAATATTCATCTGCTCAGAAGTCCTCCACAATCACATACTGTCTACGGATGAGTTCAAATTCCATACAACAGGAAAGGTGTAGCTGGCAGATGGCCCCGAATAACTCTCCTGTCTCCCTTCTTGCCACTTCCCTGCCTGTGCTCCTTCTGCACAGCCATCCTGAACTTGTACTGTTTCAGTTGCTCTCACACACCATCTCCCTGACTAGCTCTTTGGAGCCTCCCTCTTCAACTCAAGACTCTGAAATTCCTTCTCAAGTACTTCCTCAGCTCTCAGAACAGCCTCTAAGTTCATTTGTGGTCCTCCTCTGAGCTCCTATAGCTAGCCCCTCCTGTAACCAATGGTTAGAAAGACTGAGGCCTGTACTCAGCAACAAGCTCATGAAGACAACTAAGAGATCTGTCTTGTTTATCACTGTGTCCCCAGAACATGTGATAAACTCTCTGTCTGTGTACTGAAGGATTAAAACAAAAGAATGAATGGACTGGGTCATTTAGGAGGCCCCCCAGTTCCTCATCATTTACTAGCTCTATCACAGCATTTCTCATACTGCATTGTAATTGTCTGAACATCTTGAAAGCTCTCATCTTTTATTTCTGCAACCCTAAGAATTAAAATAGTGCCTGGTACTTCAAAGGCATTCACTAAATGATTTTCCAATATAAAAGGACATGGGAAAATCTGGAAGAATATACCCATGATATTAAGTATGGTCATCCCTGAAGAAAAAAATAGGATTAGGGCAACAATAAGAGGGAAGGAAAACTACTAATTTTTGCCCCCCTTATCTCTATATTTATATTAAATTTCTTTTGTAATGTGCATTCATTACTCATATTGCCAGCATAAGATTAAATCCAGGTAAAGAACCAATCTTGAAGAACAAAGTGTGGTTTGACTATAAGCAGCATTTGATTCCAAATACCCAAGAGTAAAGCCAAAAAAAACAAAAAACTGACTTTTACAGACCTCAGAAAAAGGATTTAGAAGGAAAGGAGAAGCCAGACCAGGTAGTGCATGGCTGTAATGCCAGCACTTGGGAGGCTGAGGTATGAGGATTGCCATAAATTCAAGGCCGAGAGAGAGAGAGAGATTGAGAGAGAGGGAGGAGCAATTTATGATCCATACAGCCACTCCTCAATGAAAAACAAGCTATATTCTTAAATACTTGAAATCTGAAGCACCGTAGTGCTGGCCTACTAACACTGATAATAACTAATACTTATAGTATGCAATTGTTTACAAAATCACCCCAAATAACCAAAAACCTTACTGCCACAAGCAGCTTTCTATGGAAATTGTAAAGTATGTCTAAAGATACAATGACAGTGGGGATAGGGGCTACAATGTTGGCATGTCCACTTAGATAAGTGTGCTCTACCTTTATTTTCAGAATTTATTAAAGTAGTATAATACATCATTGACAATCAGATCACAAATTTTAAGTAAACAAGTAAAACAAAGCTATAAGCCAACTTTGTGTCAGCAATTGGCAGTGCAAGAACAATTTTTACATATAGATAGCTCTAGAACAAGCTTCTTTTCACTTTTTTAAGTCAACATAAGCACAGGGCAGGCCAGTGAATATATAAAAATAAACCAAAGTTTCCAAACTGTGTGCTTTAAACAACTAAAAAGACACAATTTTGGTGAATGTCGGTTCAGATCTTTTCAGATGAAAAATTGGTACTATGCAGAGGCTATTAGAACTCTGGAAAAGGAAGCAGAGGAGACACACTGAGAACTGCCTTTGGGAAAGGTCAAATCAGCTTTCTCTTGTTTAACCTCGCAAGTAGATAAAAGAACTGGCTGTGAAGAATCACTGCATTGTTTCACTGCTAAAAAAAGCAAGTTTAGTAAAGCATATACAAAAAGAAACTGCCAAATGTTCCACCGAATTGGTCCCAGAAGCAACAGAAAAATAAGTCAATTATAACACTTTGAACTCAGTCTCTGATACAGACTCGCAAGCATTTTAACAGTTTTGGACAAAAACCCTACAATGCAAAATACTTCAATTGGCTAGCCTCTCCCTGTTTAAAATGCAGATTCTTAATGTTAAAAAGTGAAGATGTCACGCCACACTGCGCTTGCGATTTTGAGCCTCGATGCAAAAACGAGTCTAATTTTCAGTATTTTAAAAACTCAAAAATTAATTGTTGTAAGTAAACCAAATTAAAAATTCCCAAATGAGAAGGGATTCCTATTTTACCCAAGAGCAGCCGAGAAAATGACAAGCTCCCATTCATCACTAAGACCATCCATCGCAGTTTCTGATTAAGAACTCTACTCTCCAATAGGGAACTATCCCTCTCAGAGAGGCCAAACCAAGAAGAAATCGCCATTGCCCATGAGTACCAAAGACAGAGAGGGAAAGACTTTGCGGTCGCAAAGCTGGGCGCTGCGGCTGAATCCCGGGGGATGGTCCGGCAGGGAAGCTCGCAGCCCTCACCCCTCGCCCTGCAGCGCACCGGGGCGGGATGCCCCGACCTCTGCCGCACTCGGGAGTGGAGCGTGGCCTCACGGCCAGGAGACCCGAGGTCAACACGCAGCACGCAGGCACCAGTCGGGCAGCTGAGACGGCAGGACCAGGCACCGGGGACAGCA